TCCCCCCTTCTCCTTCCATCAGATGATGTATTATGGCTGCTACAAGGACTTCGGACCCGACCCGCCCGCTTGGATACCCGACCCGTACGTCGTCATTGACCACCTTTTAGATTTTTTTTTTTTTTTTTTTGTCAAGAGGAAGTGACAGACACGAAGACGAAGACTATACAATACAAGTCTTCTTTTTTTATACACGTACAAAAAATATGCAAAAGTTGAAATAAACAAAACCAAATTACACTCTTTTTGCCAGCCAAAACTATTACTTATATGTATATATATATATAGATATATGACCCAGTTCACGGTTATAAACGATATTTTGAACTTATGAATCTGTTATTTCATATATGATCTTATCTGACTTTTTCATTAACATTTCTCTCAACCCATTTTCCTAATTAACAACACTTGCCAATAATTTTTTTCTCCTGCAGAAAGCCGCCCATAGACCCTTCTTTTATAAGCAATTCCCTCCTCTTTGTTTCATCTCCATCCCTTTCTTCTCACTCAAAACATCGGTTTTCCTTGGAGAAATCGACTTAAAAAACGATGATTTACGTGTATTTTAGCCTTCCGCTGTTTGCGTTTATGGTGATAGTGGCGGTTGGTGGTTGCTTCGGGTGCTATTACATGGGCCGGAACCAGGGTATACGCCAAACAGGCGGCCCCACTGCGTATCCAGCACCAGCCGTGGCGCCGCCCGTCGGAGGTTACAATGCCGGGGCTCAACCTTACCCTCCGATGTATGCTGCCTAATGCCTGTCTTTATCGCCATTCATGATCTGTAGATTGGATCCGTTTCTTCTCTTCTTCTTTCTTTAAACATTCTGCAATTTTTCGTCTTTCCTTTTTGTTTGTAAAACGTTGTTTTCTTGTTCTTGAAACTGGCAAACGAGTGCATTACAAAACACGGAAAACTATCTGGTCTTATACTGTACAACTTGAAAAGGTATTGCAACTCTAAGTATGAAACTGGAAGAATGCTGAAATATGGTTTGTGAAGCTTGAAAATATATAATTTCGGATGAGATTGAAAGCTCCAACGGTAGCTGACAAGCCCGGGGAAAGAATAGGAAGGATACTTTCCGTGATCTCGTCTCGTCTATCGCCTTAGGTTTCGAACTCTCCGGATCGACACAAGGTTCGCCAGGTTTGCCTCGAGGAATTTTGGCTAACGCTCCCTTAACCTCGACCGATGAATCTGCTCTCGTTCCTGCCAACTCGACAAAAGAACGGACGAGTCTCCTTTGGATTATGGAAACCCAAAAAATGGTGACTTTCTACGCAAGGCTAAGGCGAAGTATTCGTACCTGTTCTCATCAAACTTCAAGCCCATACTGTGGGAAATCGATCGCAAAGCTTCTCACCCATTTTTTTAGCATATTGTCATCTACATTTTTCCCGAGATTTCATAGCCGAAACCCGAAACCTCCGTCAAGCCCTCCAATGACTTAAAGCTCAACCTTATAGAATATGGGAATGGTCGCGAGCTGGCCTTTATCCACACCATGTTTGATCTTCACGAGCTCGTTTAACACCATTTGGATTCAGTGTACTTGCTCGAGAAGATCACGAGAGCGATTTTTTATTCCTTGATCCTCTCTGCTCACATTCGTTGGTGAAAACGTTGATTATGGCTCTCCTCACGTCCTTGACGAGGCGGTGGACGAAGTTTAGACGCAGCTATTGTCCGCGGAAGCTGAGGAAAACTTGATGCTGCGGAATTTCTGAAGAGGAAGCCGCCATGAAGGCTTCGACGAGAGGGATGATAACAAAGGGATCATTTTCGCCATACCATGAAGTCAACGACGAGGCATCTCGTGTACTGAGTCTAACCAAAATATATTACGGCCACCAATCATTAAAATATAACGACCGTACGTGCTCGCTTGGAATATGCGATAGAGGGACAATGAAGAGAGGATGCATGCGACGGCGAGTGAATGCATCCTCTCTTTATATATATATATACATATATCAGTATATGTGCATATATATACACACATATACGATGGTGGGTGGTGGCTACATTGTGCAACCAGTTCGATTAAAGAAACCCAACATGTAGAACTTGAAACATCTTTTAAGCAAAAATCAAGACTTCATGATATAGGCACATCACATGAAACTGCTGTCTCTCTATATGTACTTCTAATCTAAAGCTCGTGTATCTCTTAACACACAGACCACAACAAAGGACCCGATACCGAGAAGACAGAACAAAAAGAAAACACTTTTTCTTTTAGGGGAAATGAGAAAAACCCGAAAAGCAACAAAAACAAGGTTCGTTTACCAGCAGGAAATTCGTCGATCGATACGAGCAAAAGAACTGGAAATGCCTGCATATGAAAGTTTTGGGTCATGAAGCTTTTGCCTTTCTGCATACCTTCTACTGCAGGGAGAGCGTTCCGGCCATAACTCCATACAAGAAAGAAATGGATGCGATTTTGTACCTCTAGTTTGTCCGAAGGGTGTCGTTTCTCGGGAATTTTGGAAAACTAGAACCCAACTCTGTGATGTATTGTGAAGTGAAAGCAATTTGCTTGTCAAAATGACAACCTTTCTTGTCAATCAGAATCTCCTTTAAAGTGCTGAGCCAAGAATTCGTCGAGCTGGCCCCAGTTCGGGACGTCGGATTGGTCAACATTGTCAGATGGCAATGACCTGATACATCCGAGGATGAGCTCGACGTCGAGCTTCAACCTGAAAGACGAGATGGGAACATAAAGGGAAGTTTTACATGACAAGAAACTAAGAACCCAAAAACGGAGGGCACATTGTGATGATTTACCTCTTCTTTGCCTGTGGCGTGCTAATCTCCAAGCGCGAAAACGCTTGGGAGATTTGCGAATGGAAAATCAAAATCACCTGCCTGAAAAATCATGAAAAACAATAGTGGTAAGGGAACAGAAATGCGAGCAGTTCGATACAGAAATCTATAAAGCAGGAAGGTTTTTCGGTTTTAAAAGAATGTTGTTGGCGATCCTTGTAAGAGAATTCCGGCACGCTCCAACTTACTTTGAATTTAAGCTGATATTTCTCCAATAGCGAAAGTCCAAATAAATATAGTGAATCATAGAGAATCTACAGAGATCGTTACCTGAAGATTGCTTGAACATCCACTTCATGCAATGTTCGGGACAAGACACGTTGAAGGAAACCGACTTCCTGAAAAAGTGTTAAATGACATTAGACCCACAACAGCTAGAAACTGAATCATAATCACGCAATCACAAAAAAAAACCGTAATATTAATAAGCAAGCACTAAACAAGACTTGTCAACAAGAGTTAAATCACCTTGGTGAGTGATCGGGCAAACTGACTAGGTTGTGGATTAGCATCTTCGGGTCGGTTCCAGCTCTCAACAATTTGAGGCAATCCACGAAGATGCACCAATAGCCTTTCTCTCATTATCTGAACCAGTTTTGTGTGTATTTCATCTCTATGAACCCTATAATCCTGAAATTTCGAGAGAAGCCAATGTTAATGGCAAATGCGCATGATTACAGCCATTCTAACAAATAGGTACCGACACCCCGAGGAGAAATAGCCATTCTAACATTCACTTTTCAACTCGTTTCCCTAAAATCTTCTGACTGAGGAGAGAGAATCAAACCTGAGCAACTCGATCAAGCTCTGCTGACAACAATGGCTTTCTCATCTCGGGTACTTTGAGAAAAAGAGTTCTTCTGATTTCTTGGATGACAAACAAAATTTTCAAAAAATTATTCACAAGTTATCGGAGAAAAAGCACAACCATCGCTCTACAAAAACAATATGAGCATAACACGCAAGCATGGGTTCGGAGAACAAGCTGAGTTACAAAATAAATACTTGAACAAACAACAGGAAAATCGCCTTTTACGGAAGAGGACCGAATATATATTAAAATGTTAACGCGTCTAGACAATAAACAAAGAACCGTAACCTACCAGGGACGATGGCGTAAGTAAAGCTGATTACTTGACTTGCAAGCGCCAAGTGTTTTGAAGTGATGGACTTCAAACCGGATACCTAAATCATAAATTTGGCCACCAAAAGGTCAAGATTAACACTCAAACGGTCTCTCTTTTACGAGCTAAGTTAGCAATTTATGCATAAGACATTTCACTTAAAGAGGATGTAAGGTTGCAACAGAATATCAGCTAGAAACGTAAAGACAACTCATCAACGGCTAAATTCCCAACTAATCATGAATCGACACATATGACAGAACACAATATGAAGCCAAGATCATGTAAGGTGTTCCTTAGATTTAAATATGCAAGTATACATACCTGCATAGCACCAGCACCCAGAACTAATTGGCATGTCCTTGTGTTGAAAAACTTCAAAACCTCCACAACACGATGAACAATTTCCGAGGATAGTGCTGGTAAAGAATTGTTCATGTCTATGTATTCTGACAACATCTTGAGCAATATTAGGCCACTGCAGACATAGAATTAAGTATAACAAATGCATCAGTATTTATGGCACAGTGAACATAAACTAAAAGGAAGCAGTCCAATCATGGAAGATATTAGACTAACTAGAGGCCAAGTGCCCTCTCACATATGCAATTGAACAAAAAAGTATTCAGTGATAGAGAGATTAAGGATTGCATCTACTACGAGATGTAGAAGCTGAAGCAAAATAAGAAAACTGACCAGTTTACCATATGGTAACCAACTCCTTGATAGAAGAGGATGTGGGACCCAGATTTTCTATGTTCCTTCAGGTTACCGTGATTATTTGGAGCTGAAGATGCACCAGGTTTGCTTCGTTCAAGTGGCTCAGCTGAGGGACTGGATTTTGCTTCTGCGGTACTATCTGAAGAATTTTCACTAGGTTCAGACTGTTCGCTTCGTGATTCAGCATTTTGATTCGCAGTTTCTGCTGACAGAGATCCATCAGGTGGAACCACATTTCCATTATTACCAGACACCAACTCCTCGGAAGGAAAACGAGAATTAACTATGGCTTGGAATTCTTCGGGAACATCCATCTCGGCCCATGTTTCTTGATCAAGCACGGCTTTCAATTTAGTTATCTACAAATGACAATAACATATTCAATCATTCAACATACGGATCCCAGAAATGGACAAAGACAGAAAACGAAAAGAACATATATTCTTCTACTACAATCTCTGTCCACAAGAACTATAACAGTCCCAGGTGGTTGGCCTCAAAATCAATGGAAGAGAGCACATTTAGATCATATAACTTTCTCACAAGCATGAAAGGAAAATGGGAAGGTTTGAAATATAAAGAAAGGGACGTGGCTTCACTTTTTTTTCCCCTTTAATGTGAAACACTTCTATAACATAAGCTTGAAAGAGGGTCT